CCTCAGCTTCCCAAAGGCGCGGGATTACAGGCTGAGCCACCGAGCCTGGCCTACTGCTATTTTTAAAAAAATTTTTGTATAGAGGTGAGGTCTTGCTATGTTGCCCAGGCTGGTCTCGAATTCCTGGTCTCAAGGGATTCTCCCACCTCGGCCTTCCAAAATGCTAGTATGCAGGCATGAGCCACTGTTCCCAGCCAGGATGTGCGTTTCAAAAATTTTTAATATATATATGGAGATAAGGTTTCACTGTGCTGCCCAGGCTGGTTTTAAACTCATAGGCTCAGATGATCCTTCCGCCTTCGTCTCCCGAAGCGGTGGGATTACAGGGGTGAGCAACCAGACCCAGCCCAGGATGTACGTTTTAAAACAGCTTTATTGAGGGGTAATTTACATTTTATAAAATAAATGTAAATTTATTTCAGAATCAGTGATTTTTAGTAAACTACAGTTAATTTTTTTTAACTGTTTCTAGTTTTATTCTGGATCATGTACTTTTGGTATACATAAATGTTTTGAACCTTTTTTTTCCCCCAAGTAATTGTCTGAACTTTCTCCAACCTTAATCTGCATGGAGCGGGGCAAGGCCTGAAGCCCTTTCAAAACTGTTCTGGCAAGCTCTGTAGGATTGCATAGGGTCACAGCAGGCCGAAGCGCTGGAGGCTTGCTAGATAGTCGATTTTAGCAAACATCATCACAGTCCAGTTTTAGGACATTTCCATCAGCCCAGAAAGCTTCTTCCCCTCCATGTGCTGTCAGTCCTGTTCCTTCCCTCAGGCTGATGTGCCTTCTGCCTCTAAATTTGTAGACATGGAACACATCATGTTTTCTCATCAGTTACTTTTATTTCATCTTTATGGCATACGTGTGGCAGTATATTGATTGAAAGCATGTGGGAAATGTTATCTCTTTTGAGCCCGAGGTAAAATTGTCTAAATACTTTTAGAGGACAGGGCCCCCCAGGAGTGCTGGGGCTGGGCGCAGTCTGCAGAGGGAATCGGTGCTGTAGGCCATCAACTTCTGTCCATTCTTTTTTTTTTTGAGTTGAAGTCTCACTCTGTCGCCCAGACTGGAGTGCAGTGGCTGCTCCTGGCCACTGCAGCCTCGACCTGCTGGGCTCCGGCAATCCTTCTGCCTCACCCTTCCAAATAGCTGGAACTACAGGTGTGCGCTACCACGCCCGGCTAATTTTTTGATTTATTGTTGAGAAGAGGTCTCACCAAGTTACCTAGGCGGGTCTCAAACCCGCGGGCTTGGGCAATCCACTCACCTCAGCCTCCCAAGGCTCGGGATTACAGACTGAGCCACCGAGCCCGGCAACTTCTGTCCATTCTTTTCCCAACTTCTGGCCTCAGGCCCCTCCAAGACCAGAGCCTTCCCCAGGGCCCAGCTGGGATTGGTGTCTTTGCTGATGTTGTCCAAACCGCAAGACAGAGTTGCGCCACCACATGTGGTCACACTTCCTGCCCTGCAAGCTGGACACGTGAGTAATTTCTGTCCCTTTCCCCCTCACAGGGACTTCCTTCCCCGTGGCTCAGGAATCGTCACCCGGCGGCCTCTTATTCTGCAGCTCATCTTCTCAAAAACAGGTATGAGGGCAGCCTACAGCTTCAGAAGGAAGTGAATGTGGATGTGGGCCCAGGAGGAGCCAGGGGCCACAGGCCTCATCTTGTGTCCCGGGCTGTCATTTGGGTTTGACTGCTTGTGTTCCATGTATGTGGGGAAGTTGAAAAATGGCTCAGTGAACACTTAGACACCCATGCCACAAGCCCTCAACTGTGACTTGGATGCCAGGTGTCATATTTACTTTCTATATGACATAGAGAGAACACCTCCCCCCGTTTTTGAGTCAGTCTCACTCTGTCACCTAGGTTGGAGTGCAGTGGCATGGTCAAGACCATGACAGCCATGACCTACTGGGCTCAGGTGATCCTGCCACCTCAGCCTTCCAAGTAACTGGAACTATAGGTGCATGCCACCATGCCTGGCTAATTTTTTTATTTATTGTAGAGAACCAAGTAACTGGAACTATAGGTGCATGCCACCATGCCTGGCTAATTTTTTTATTTATTGTAGAGATGAGGTCTCACTAAGTTGCCCAAACTGGTCTCGAACCCGTGGGTTCAGGCAATCTGCCTCCCAAAGTGCTGGGATTATAGGCGTGAGCTACCACACCTGACCTAAGGATACATTTTTGCTGAACCCTTTCAAAATCAGTGACAGATGTTGTGATACATCCACCCTAAGTGCTTCAGTGCACCTCCCCTTGCTACAAGGACACTATTCCACATAGTCACAGCACCACACTCAGGAAAAGGAGTATTCCTGCATGCCATTCGAGTCCCAGTCCCTCCTCTATATGTCACCAGTTGTCCCCTAAATAACTTCTCTGGCTGATTTTTTTTTTTCTCTTGAGTCAGAGTTTCACTCTGTCACCCAGGCTGGATTGCAGTGGTATAATCACAGTTTACTACAGCCTTACCTCCTAGATTCAGGTAATCCTCCCACTGCAGTCTCCCCAGAGGGTATGCAGTGACCTGTAATGGTGCCACTGCACTCCAGCCTGGGAGACAGAGGAAGACCCTATGCCCACTTCCTGACAGTCCTACCTTATGGAAGAAGAGGTTGAGGCTTCTGTGTCACTTGTCTGAGGGCACATGGGAGGATCATCTTTAAAGCCCACCTTTAAGCTCACTCTTGGGGAATGTGGCCTCAGGCCGGAGTATGACTGACCAGATTCCCATCATTGCTGGTGGAGAAGAGGCTACAGGGACCAGTGCCAAGGTGGGAGCTTCTGGAGGAGGTGGGAGCAGGTGGAGAAGTGGTGGGCCACAGATGATGGGATTGCAGCCATGGTAGAGATGGTGCCATGGTGGGGGCGCTGGAGGGAGTCTTGTATGGGTGTGAGTCTTCCTGTGTCCCCCAGCTCACACCTCCTCCATCCCACATGGCATTATTACTCCAGGTAGGTGCTCACTCAGTACTGGCCCTCAGCCAGACATCAGGTCGGCAGTGTGAGCACACCAATGTGATCCTGGCTCCCTGAGTCCTGGCCTAGTTGGGGCAGTAGACATGAGGTCACTGTGGTCACGCCAAGAGGAGAAAGCACAGGGGTTTGTGAGAGTATGTCAGCCGTTGTATCTGCCATGGGGTGAGGGGTCCAGGGAAAACATTCTGGACAGGGCTGCAATGTGTGAAGAGTGGTGAGGGGCCAGGAAGCAGGTGGGACAGCCTGGCAGGCCTGGTGAGGGATTCAAGCAGGGGACGCCTGTGTGGCCTGCAGAATGGGGAGAGACTGGCTCAGCCTGCTGGCTGCTGTGTGCAGGACAGACAGGGCCAGGAACATGGGGGTGAGGGGACAGGGGACCGGTAGAGGTATAGAGGTTGGCACTGAGGTGGTAGGGCCGGGCTCTGGTGGTGCTGTGGGGTTGGGGGCAGTGTGGTGTGACCTCAGGGCAAGGTGCTGAGACTTCCAGCAGAGGGTCCCAGACTGAGGGAGGCAGTGGGGAGGAGGGGTGCTCTGCTAGTAGGGAGAGGAAGTGAGTGCATGCAGGATTTTCACTGCTGACTGGTGGCATGAGGGCCACACAGGGCCATGTAACCCTAGAGACTGAAGTTCGTCAAGCTGGCTCTCAGCCACCAAACTCAGAGCTAGGCTGCCCCCCTTTATGACTGGGGAATCAGGTGAGTGACTGCCCTCTCATGCCTTGGTTGCCTCATGTGCCAAATGGGGGTGATAGTGGTGCCTTTCTTGCAGCGCTGGCACCTGCTTAACTGTGGCATGGCTGCCTCCTATGGAGTCTGGAATCTGAAGTTGCACCCCTGAGGCTAGGCCTGGGTCCCCCCTCTCTGATTCTCACAACGCCCAGCATTGCCTAGCTTCCCTTATTCAGCCTGGTCTGGATGAACCATTACTTTTAAATAGCTTAGTTTAAAAATTACCCAAGAATGCAGCCATCAGGAAGTTTGGTGGCCTTTGGGTGAACCCCGACCTTGTTGGGAACCACCCCATAACTCTGGATGCTGGCAACTGTTCTGGGTGCTGGAGACTGTTCCTGCATGGAATGTGAATGGCGTGGCCTCCTGCTGCCGGCCCCCTCCCTCCAGGCTGGAGTGGAGTAGAATGCTCATGGCCCTTGCAGCCTCTACCTGCTGGGCTCAGGTGATCCTTCCACCTCAGTCTTCCAAGTAGCTGAAACTACAGGCATGTGCCACCACACCCAGCTAATTTTTTCATTTATTGTAGAGATGAGGTCTCACCAAGTTTCCCAGGCTGGTCTTGAACCTGTGGCCTCTCACCTCGGCCTCCCAAAGTGCTGGGATTAGAGGCGTGAGCTACAGCGCCTGGCCTTTTTTTTTTTTTATAGCAGGATTTATTGAGAGGACAGAAAAACTCCAACAGTGGGAGGGGACCCGAAGGGGTTGCCCAGCCTTGACCTTCTTGACCTTGACTTCTGTCTGTGCTCATAGAAACCAGAGGAGAGATGTCAGGACTTGGCTCCAAGGCTTCCATCTGCCTCAGAATCAAATCCAGCCTCTTTTTCTTTTTTGAGTCAGTGTCTCACTCTGTTGCCCAGGCTGGAGTGCAGTGGCACACTCATGGCCACCCCAGACCTACTGGGCTAAAGTGATCTTTCTGCCTCAGCCTTCCAAGTAGCCGGAACTACAGGTGCGTGCTACTACACCAGCTAATTTTTTGATATATTGTAGAGATGAGGTCTCACCAAGTTGCCCAGACTGGTCTTGAACCCCTGGGCTCTTGCCTTGGCCTCCCAAAGTGCTAGGATTACAGGCTTGAGCCACCATGCCTGGCCAGCTTCCTTCTTAAGACTTTGTGGCCCTGTCTGGGTCCTGCTGATCCTGGGACCTCACATTTTCCTGGTCCCCTCCCTCCTGACCCTCAAACTCAGATAATTTATTACCACCTCTGGGCTGTTATGTCCCCTGTACTCCCTACCTGAAATTCTGTATACCGATCTGCCTTCTCCTCTGGGTGACCTTCAGCCCTGTCATTCACTGTCTTCACTCCCTGTCCTTTTTTTTTTTGAGACAGAGTCTTGCTCAGTTGCCTAGGCAACAGGAGTGCAGTGGCACGATCATAGTTCACTGCAGCTTTGACCTTCTGGGCTCAAGTGATCCTCCTGCTTCAGACTCCTGAGTAGCTGGAACTATAGGCACACACCACTGTGCCTGGCGTATTTTTAAATTTTTTTGTAGAGAAGAGGTGTCACTTTATTGCCCAGGCTGGTCACACCTGAGCCACCATGCCCAGCCAAGGAAGGACCATCTTCTGACCTTGGTCACCGTGAGCCTCTGCAAGTTCTTTTTTTTTTTTTTGAGTCAGAGTCTCACTCTGTCACCCAGACTGGAGGGCAGTGGCCACTGCAGCCTCAACCTGCTGGGCTCAGGTGATCCTTCCGCCTCAACCTTCCATGTAGCTGGAACTACAGGCATGCCCAGCTAATTTTTTGATTTATTGTAGAGATGAGGTCTTGCCCAATTGGCCCACGCTGATCTTGAACCCTCAGGCTCAGGCAATCCTCTCACCTCAAAGTGCTAGGGTTATAGGTGTGAGCCACTGCGCCCGCCCCGCCTACAAGTTCTTTTAAAACAGGAGGGGTTGGATTGCCTGAGCCTGTGGATTCGAGACCCGCCTGGGTGACTTGGTGAGACCTCATCTCTACAATAAATCAAAAAACTAGCCGGGCATGATAGCGTGTGCCTGTAGTTCCAGCTACTTGGAAGGTTGAGGCGGAAGGATCGCCGGAGCCCAGCAGATGGAGGCTGCGGTGGCCGGGAGCGGCCACTGCATTCCAGTCTGGGCAACAGAGTGAGACTCCAACTCAAAAAAACAAAACAAAACAAAAAACGAAAAACAGGAGGGTCACCTAGGCTCAGTGGATCAACCTGTAATCCCAACTTGGCGAATCCTCGTCTCTACAATAAATAAAAACCTAACCTGGTGAGGTAGCGTGCGCCTGTACTTCTGGCTACTTGGAAGGCTGAGGCAGAAGGATCGCCAGAGCCCAGCAAGTTGAGGCTGTGGTGGCCATGAGCATGCCACTCACTTCAGCCTGGGCGACAGAGTGAGACTTCAACTCGAAAAACAAGCAGACAAAACAAAACAAAAAAAACCCAGGAGGATCTAAAGACCCTGAGGGAGACCAGACCTGGTGTGACTGTGGTTTCTGTTGAGGGTTGACTTCCTTGTGCCCCGGGTGACCTGTCCCTGAGAAGGTGATGGCATACACTTGTCACTCCCCTGCTCATAGGAACCAGAGGAGAGATGTCGGGACTTAGCTCCAAGGGTTCTCATCCACCTCAGAATCAAATCCAGTCTCCTTCTCAAGGCTTTGCGGCCCTGTCCAGGCCCTGCTGGTCCTGGGCCCTCATCTTCCTGGTCCCTCTCCTCCTGACCCTTAAGCCCAGATCATTTGTTCCCACCTCTGGGCTGCTGTGTCCCCTGTGCTCCCTACTTGAAACACTGTCTCCCAATCTGCCTTCTCCGCTGGGTGACCTCCTGCCCTGTCATTTACCCTTTCAAGAGACCCTGGGTGGGAATTAGCTACTTAGCCCAGTGGGGACCCAC